AGGTACCGCCCCATCCCATCCCCACCCCCAGTGACCTCACACTGCTACCGGTACCGCCCCCATCGTATGACGTCTATGTCTTTTCCCTTTAGTGCAACCCTCATGTTTATCTTTATCTTTCCTATGTCACAGCTGGCGAAGGCTGACACTGCTACCGGTACCGCCCCCATCGTATGACGTCTATGTCTTTTCCCTTTAGTGCAACCCTCATGTTTATCTTTATCTTTCCTATGTCACAGCTGGCGAAGGCTGCGAAGCTGAACAAATTTGTGAAGACCATCGCCCTGCCTGAAAGCAATGGAAGGGTGCAGCCCGAGACCATGTGCAGTGTGGCCGGCTGGGGCCGCACTATCGCTAAGAATAGTTCATCAGCTGCCAACGCGCTGCGGGAGGTGGACGTGGAGGTGCTGGAGGATGACAAGTGCTCGGGGTATCGTCGCTACGACCCGGCGACCATGCTGTGTGCAGGGCAGGCACAGAAGGGCAAAGATTCTGCAAAGGTAAATGTGGTCCTGGCTTGAAGCTCTTCGTGCATCGTTGCTCCGACGGCGTGTGTGGGGGATCGGGCTGAGACAATTGGGCCAGGCTTGGCAGGGGCCAGGGAGGGGCTTGGTCACATCGGGGTTTCACTGAGCCGTTTTCCCTCCATGGTCTGGTTTCCGCTGCAGGGCGACTCCGGCGGCCCCCTGGTGTGTGGGGGTAAGGCCCAGGGCATCGTCTCCTGGGGGCCCTACACCCCGCCGGGAGTGTACACGAGAGTCTCCACTAAGTGCTCGGGGTATCGTCGCTACGACCCGGCGACCATGCTGTGTGCAGGGCAGGCACAGAAGGGCAAAGATTCTGCAAAGGTAAATGTGGTCCTGGCTTGAAGCTCTTCGTGCATCGCTGCTTCGAGGGCGTGTGTGGGGGATCGGGCTGAGACAATTGGGCCAGGCTTGGCAGGGGCCAGGGAGGGGCTTGGTCACATCGGGGTTTCACTGAGCCGTTTTCCCTCCATGGTCTGGTTTCCGCTGCAGGGCGACTCCGGCGGCCCCCTGGTGTGTGGGGGTAAGGCCCAGGGCATCGTCTCCTGGGGGCCCTACACCCCGCCGGGAGTGTACACGAGAGTCTCCACTTTCCTCAGCTGGATCCACAAGAACATGCATCGGCTGCAGCCCAGAGCCCTGTCCAGGGTCCCTGCATAGCCCGGCTCTGCCTCGCTCCTGTGCCTTGGAGAGGCCCAAACATCAGGCCTGCTCGGCAGAGGGGCTGACTGCCCCACAGCCCAGCTTGAGTTTCCTCTCCCTTGCAAGCTGCAGTCCCCTCCCCCAACCACTGTTCTGCTCTGGTCGTGCCTAACCCATCAGGAGACTTAAAATCCATGTTCAGGGCCGGGTGCCCCTTGGCCAGGGATCGGCTGGGTCATGTTCATGAAAAGCCAAATTCTAGGATGACCGGGCGGGTTGAAGCTCTCCCCGGTGTGAGCCAGGATAGTGACAGCTAGTGGGAGCTCTTCCCTGTAACGTCCACCGGCCTGTTCCTGCTGGAACCGCCCCCAGCCCTGCCCTCTCTTGGCCTTCCCCACACGCTGGCCCCCTGGAGTCGCCTCTGCCTGTCCCAAACACACCCAGTTCTGGAGGCGGCCAGGCCAGCGGGAGGGGAACTCCTGCAGATCAAACATCGGCCCTGATCCGCCCCTGCCCAGCTCCCCTGCCCGGCTGCATTTCGCTGTCTGCTCCGTAGCCAGCCAGTAATAAAGTGAAGTTATAAAAAATGGCTCCTGACTGACGCATCCACCCAGAGCTTTGCCATCCAGAGCAGTGGCTGGACCTGCCCAGGCCAGGAGGGAAGGGACCTTATGGGCAGGCCGGGCTGGTGGTTAATGCTCTTGGCTGGGCCCCAGCACACCTGGGATCAGCGATGTCATGGGCCAGGAGGGTCTGGGGGTGGGACCTGCACCCCTCGAGGGTGAGACTGACACGAAGGTTACTCAGGGGAGAAAAGGTGCTTGTGCCCCAGTGACGGGCCAGGCCAAAGGGCTCCTCACAGCCCCAGAGCAGAGACCTTCCCAAACAGGCCACACACCAGTCACACCGAGCGCTTCAGATGCCAGTCCGGGCAGTAGGAAGCCTGAGCAAAACCCCTTGGACACCCCAGCTCTCCCTGTGCCACAATCAGCCCCGGGCCTTACCCACAGTTAAGGGGTTATAGATCCCAATCGACCTACCCCGAATGATCTTTGGGTCTTTCTGGTCCCAAAGAACCAGCCACACATCCTTGGTCAGATTCCACTCTGCATCTCGCCCACTGGAGCACGCTGGGCCAATCCCTGAGAAGCTACAATCTGTGTGAACAAAAGAGAGGAGAGGCTGAGAGCGAGGTCGTTAAGGAGAATGTGTCACATACACCAACGACGCGGTTCTCGATGCAGGCTTGGAGCAGAGATGTTACAACCTGCTGGCTTAAAAGTCTCCGGAGTCCATCCCTTGTCCCTGGAGTCCCGCTAATTAGCATCGTCCAACTGAACCATTGTTCTGTACAAGAGAGAGTGAAGGTCGGAGCAGCACATTCATAACCCCACATACAGACCTGACACAGGGACATGAATAGCATACGCAGAGCCAGTAGGACATGAGCTTTCATTCGACACCTCACACGGCCCCCTTTGTGCAGACATTGGGGCAACCACCCTCTCTGCCCCATAGGTGCAGCAATGATCTGGTTGCTCCTTTTAAAATCCAGTAACGTGACAGCCATTACTTGTCCTGACCCCTGAGGCTGCTACATCTGGAACAGAAATAGGTTTGACAAAGCTCTAGCTGCAAAAAATCAACTCTTCTACTTCCTACCCACCCACCTGTCTGTCCATCCATGAATCCATCCACCCATCCCTACATCTCTATTTAGTCTGTCTCAATCTAGGTGTGTCACTGACCTATTATCTATCTTCCTATCTATCTAGAGGAGGTGTATGGAGATAGATGGATTGGACCTACATCTCTTAGCCTTGTCCCCTGTCCATGGGGCACCAGATCTGTCTGGGGTCAGACCCAGACCCTCTCCCTGGGGAAGGGAGATACACACACAAACACACACACACACGCACACACACACACACACACGTGAGCATCATAAGTCCAGCAATTCCTGCAACCCATCTCCTGGCCAACATTGGAAAAGATCTCAGAGTCCTGGTGCGATGGGCCCGGCGCTGGCAGGGCTGGGGAGATGGGATTAGAATGGATGTGTGGGGATCCCATGGAAACCAGAATAGATCTCTGTCAATGGGGGTGGATCTAAAATGAATCTTAGGGTATGTCTACACTACAAAGTTAATTTGAACTAACAGACATCTAGCCCAGTAGCCTGTATGCCCACATTGGCCAGTGCCAGGTGCCCCGGAGGGGGCGGGCCAAAGCCGATGATCAGATAGAACACCGTGACCCTGGGATTGAAGAGGAACATTAACTGCTTAACACCCGACAAAGCCAATTTCCCCTGCTTTTGACATCCGCATTTACACATCGAAAGCTATGGAAAGGACACATCCAGCCCGCATTAATATGGGTTCTACAATTGGCAGTGAACTGGTTTTGCTGTATTATAGACCTTGGAATCTCTTACTTTCACTGCAACCCATCTGATGAAGTGGGTTTTACAGAACAGCTCATGATAATATACATTATAAAACATAGATCGTTGTCAGTCTCGAGGGTATGTCTACACTACAAAGTTAGTTCGAACTAACTTAGTTCGAATTAGTTAATTCGAACTAAGCTAATTCAAACTAACGGATCCAGACTAAAAAACTAGTTCGAATTAGCGTTTTGCTAATTCGAACTAGCATGTCCACATTAAGTGGACCCTGAACCGGTGTTAAGGATGGCCGGAAGCAGTGCCGGCAGGGCATCAGAGGAGGACTTAGAGCATGGAGATGCTGTCTCAGGCTAGCCGAGGGCTGTGCTTAAAGGGTCCCGACCCCCACCCCGGACAGACAGTTCT